GCCACCTCTTTCTCTTTTTTATTTTTAATTTTAAAGAAATTAAGACAAAAGAGGACATAACAAAGCAGATCACATCAGAACAATGCAAGTAACACAGCATTTTATCACAAGACCACCCATACTTAACAGTAACTACCATAATGTCTCTTTCTTTGAAATAGTTGAGCATAGCTTCATATACAATAGTATCAAACATAACAAAGCAGTATAAAACCATCAAAAGAATGAAAGCGTTACAGGGCTTTCAGAACCAAATAGCAGAGAATGAACAATGGCTACTATATTATCTCATTTTCCACAGAAAATTTGTTTATACTATCACACATAATAATATCCAATAAGATATAACAGGATAGAACCAAAGGAAACAGAAAAACAAAAGCATAATAGGACTTCAGAGTAAGATGATACTAAATAAACACTGGCTATTCTAATGTGTTATTTTCTTTAAAATAGCTGTTTATACTATCACAGATAATAAAATCAAACAAACTAGGATAAAATCATTCCAACTAATGAATGCAGACATTGCCACCTCTTTCTCATAGAAGAGCATCTCACAAAACACTGGAAAGCCACACAGAGAGAGAGAGAGCCAAGCTGCCTAGGCCATTTGCAACTACTCCAGGGCAGGAGAAGAGCTGGAGGGCTGAAACACTTCCAAGTCATAAGTGCCTGAATCTAAAATATGTGTATGTGCCTAGTGCATCAGGAAGAACACTGCACTGGGACAGGGGTAGCTGATTTCATGTGTGTTCAATAGATTTCCCTGGCCAAGTTATGGTATCTCCCTGGATTGCCCTAGACCATCCTATCTAAAAGTCCAGGAGAATGAACACATGATGTTTTAATCAGTATATATTTGAAATATATAATTACATTCTTCTCACATCCTGATCATTTTTACTTTCCCACTGCCTGCTTTTCTTTCTCCACATCCCCTTCCCATCTCCAGAGTCCACCTATCTGTTTCTTACCATCTGTCTTCAATTTTGATTTTAAATTATTTATCTGAGGTTTCTCGTGTCAGAGAAATTGTGAAACATTCAACTTTTTGTGTCTGACTTGTTTTAGTGAGCATTATGGTGTCAAGATCCATCCATTTTCCTACAAACCACAAATTTATGCTTCTTTATGGGTATGTAATGTGTGTGCATGTGTCACATTCTTTTTATCCAGTCATCTGTTAATTGGTACATAGACCACTTCCATAATTTACAGTGAACTACGCTGCTGTAAACATGGGGAGGCATGGATCTCTGTAATACTATGTCTTTAGCTCTTTCAGGAATATACCCAGACCAAGGATATCTGGGTCAAGTGAAACTTCTATTTTTAGTTTTTTAAGGATTATCCACCCTGATTTCCATAGTGGCTTTATGGTTTACATTCCCATCAACAATGCAGCAATTTTTCTTCACTCCCATTATCGGAATTTGTTGTTTTTTGAGTTCTTGTTAGTAGCCATTCTTACTTAGCAAGTTAGAATCTCAGTGTTGCATTGATTTGCATTTCTCTAATGGCCAAAGATTCTAAACATACACTTGTTCTTTTTGAAAAGTGTTTATTTCAATTTCCCATTTTTGATCAGGAGTTTTATTTTGGTGAGTCTAATTTTTCTGAGTTCTTTATAAATTCTAGATATTAGCCTTCTGGCTATAAAATAGTTGATAATTTTTTACTCTACATATTGTCTCCTCATTCTGTTAATTGTTTCCTTTACTGTGCAGAAGCTTTCAAATTTGATTCAACCCATTTGTTGATTCCTGTGCAGCTGGGGTTCTGTTCAGGAAGTTCTTGCCCATATCTATATCTCCAAGAGTTTTACCAATTTTTTCTTCCAACAGATTCAGTATTTCTAATTCTGTATCTAGGTCTTTGATCCATTTTTTGTTTTATTTTAGAACAAGGTAAGAGGTATAAATCTTTATACATATATTGCTGGGAGGAAACAAGTTTTCCATGTGCAGAAGAATTAAACAAGAGAATATAAGGTTTTTGAAGTGTGTTCAAGCTATGATACTCTAGAACTTATCTCCAGAGGTACAGTTGATCTTTAAATACTCTTGTTAATAGGTGAAAATGTCATTTGAATACTACAAATGTGTGGAAATGTGAAACTCATTTCTATTTGGCTGTAGAAGGCATTGCATATTGTGGAGCAAATCACAACAAACTAATCTTCTCAATGATGCTTACTAATGTTTAAAATCAATTTGTACACAGCTAATGATACTATTGGTTCACAGCCCATAGTACTGTTTCTGGCCTGGTAACAAATAATAAGGACAAACTCAAAATTGGAATGCTGTGGGTAGATTTGACTATAGCTTTGCCACTTCCTAACATATCCCCTCTGAATCAGGAATGCCTGTCCCTGAATTGAATTCAAAGGCACTTTCTGAGTAGGTGCTTTGCTAGCCCAAGGTGCACAGAGGTGAATAAGACAGATCCTTCTTTCAAGTGCTTCTACCTTATAAAGCAGAAAGGAAAAAGATTTTAAGAGCAATGATAGTAATAAGCACTGAATGCATGAAAATTCAGGAAAAAATAAGCACCTAGCACAGACCAATCTTGGATAATAATGTAGGATTCCCCAGGGATGTCAACAGCTGAGCTAAGCCTTAGAAAATGAAAGGAATTTAAGGAGATGGGCTAAAGACCATTAGGGAATAGAAGAAAGGAGTATTTCTGTATAACACTAATCAAATGTAAAAAAGTCATTCAGCAAAGACAAAAACTTCGTGCAATAACATGGAACATTCAGGAAACGAGTAGTGATAAAGAGAGGCCTGGTGGTTCATGTTGACTTAACCTGAAATAGCAGTAGTGGGGAGCCACCAAAGCTTTTAAGCATATAATTTTATAATTGCTGAATGTCTGAGTCAGCCTTTCATCACTTAAACATCTAACACACTTAATACCTAACGTTCCTAATATACACATCTTGGAGGAAGAAATGTTTATTTTGACTCATGGTTTCAGAAGCTTCAGTCCATGGTCCCAAGGCACAAATGGCATGGTGGGAAACCATGACAGAGGAAAGCTGCCCAATCCATGACAGTCAAGAAGCACAGAGACAAAACAAGAAAAGCCAAGGGGGAAAAAAGGGACCAGGACAAGAATATACTGTTGCAGTTCACACCCCGGTGGCCCTCTCCTAAAAATATCTCAGCTATGAACTCAACAGTGGGTTAATCCACTGATAAGTAGGCTGCCCCCAAGACCCAGTCACCTTCCAAAAGTCCCTGACTTCCAGTCACCTGCCAAAATGAATGACTGGGGGGACTTTGGGGGAAACCAAAAAATAACACTGAAGATATAAAGTTAAAAGCGTATCACCACCTATAATAATCAGCTAATACTACTATGATTATGCCTTACAACAAGAGCACTCAAAGTTTTAATTGCTTCATATGCCACTTTTGCCCACAGCTAGACTTAGCTTCACAATGTGGATTAGGCTCATGTCTGCTCTGTGACTTCATTCTAGGACCAAGCTGAAGAAGCAGCAACTCCCTAAAGCAAACTTCTTCCACCTCAGAGGACAGGCGTTCAAGAGTGTTGGTAGAAATCTAACACAAGATACATCTTGAGACTTCAGTTCTGTACTCTGTGAATCAAAGCACGGCAAAGCCCCAGTGTATACAGAATGCATACTCTACATGTGGTAAAAATCTTGCCAACTCATGTGGCAGAGAACCCAGATATGTGCATTTGCTATAGGAAGAGCGTGAAGAGTTGGGAACTATAACTGTTACAGTCTTACCTGAGTTCCCAACTTGTCTATTATTACTACTCCTATTCAAGTCACTTTCTGATGGCTGCTTCTTGGGAAACTCTGCACACGACATTAGAAGGAAGTCAATGAGTCTCTTATAGGTTAATCAAAGTTTAATTTGTCCTCTACATAATACCCCTCACCTTTTGCCATTTTAGAGACAGCACTCAATACAAGCTATATTTGAGAATTTACATTACAATTTCTATTTTCATCAGGCTCTCTCTAGGAGGCCCAAATTTTCCTGCTTTCTGCCCTATTCTGCTTCACTGTTTGTTATTGAGACAATAACATTCCATGGTTTTTTTAAATCAGAAAAAAAATGTTAGACTTTGCAGATTTGAAGCTGCTTAGCGTTTACAGGGCGGGCATGTGGTTGCACATACAGTGGGCAGGAATCATCAGAAAGATGATAAATGAAATAGTAATTCCTAAATTAAGTGACCAGTTGGCCTAAGACATTCGGTGAGTATGAATATCAACCATTGTACAATCCTGCTTCTCTTCTGATAAGCCACAGCAACAGCAAAACACATACTCTCCTTTAATGGTTAACTCTGAAGATCACTTTCAATGAACCTATCACGTTGCTTTATTTTCACAATGATGGTAGTACAGATAAAAAAAAAAAAAAAAAACTCTGGTGTTTTAGTGGCTCAAGGAAAGTTTTCAAGAGCATGATTAAACCAAAAGGCAGAAATCAAGTAAGAGAGTAACTAAAAAGTGTCTGCTGGCTTTGACTGGCGCCCTGGATTCCCACTGCTCAGACTGTGCCCTGCACAAGTGTGTTTGGTCAAGAGAAGAAGTGAGTCTGAAATTCAGCTCATGGCCTGTTGGAGTAACCATGGCCTTGGTGCAGAGCAGTAGCATCTGGAGAAAGAGGCACCTTTTACAAAGCCCACCAAAGTGCATGCACTGTTTGCAAGGTCTAAAGAAATTGCCTCTGCCTCTGCCCAGCAGGTTGCCTTTCCTGAATCTCACAAAGCACCATGTGAGCTACTAGCCCTGAATTAAGCAACTGAAAGGTCAAGAAAAAAGAATAAATTTGAAATTTACATGAAAGCCCATTGTAGACTGTATAACACTATGCAAGACTAAAGCAGGGCAAGCAAAGGTGATTCAGAAGCTTAGCAGGTGACAGGAGAAATTGCATTGACCACAAGCATTCTCTGCCTACCCCACAGCACGTAGAATGCACATGAGACATTCAGATACATACCAGATTTCTCCGTAGGAACCTATTTGAAGATAGACTAGCCAGAAAGCACAAATGGCAGTGGGCGTGATGATTTCTGAAAGTCCATTCTAATTACTGACCCCAGGGCAGGTCTAGTCAGCGGGGCAGAAGAGTCTGGGACAGAAGTGCCCAGGCAGCCTGGCTGATCTAACTGCCAAGCCCTTTGATTCTGCTGCAGGTTAACTCGCAGAAAACATCTGGTTCCGGAGGTTGTCAGAGGCTTACAGTATGAAACCTGGGGGAGGTTTTTGTAAAGCTCTATAGCACTGTGACTGGGGGTATACGCACAGTGCTACAAAACCCACAGAGACCTGTACAAAAACTTCAGGGCAGAGGCAGCACTTCCTTGGGAAATCCTTTGCCTATGTCCTGTGCTGCAGGGGATGAACACAGCAGGCAGCCTTCCCTCCTTGCTCTGTAGCCCAGCAGGAATGCTAGGAAGCCAACTGGATCAGGGGAGAAGGGGAGAAGACACCACTCTGGCCTCTCACTCGCTGCAGTTCTTCCTGGGTGAAAGTGGCATTTCAACATTTTCTTACAGTACATGTTGAGAATACAAGAAAACTGTTGTGTTAAAATGATCTTGCTTGTCCTGCATTCATGTTGATCTTATTGCAAAAAATAAAAATAAAAAGAATTATATGAGTCATTTCATATGAACCCAAGTCCCTAGAGAGGTTTGTTTAGGTGCTTTGCTTTTACAGTTTGGGATTGTGGATTTGGAGATTGATTTATATGTAGGAAACCATCAGTCAGTGCTTCATGTCACCCTGTCTCCTCTTGCACTACACATTATCTGACCATAAAGTAACACTGGTAGTAATCACAGACTCCAGACCCAGCACCTCAATAGTCCCAGCCTTCCAAATTGAGCATTAGGGGTGTGCCAAAAAAATGAGACAATCCAAAACAATCAAAGGTACAGTTCAGAGAACTTCAGCAGTGTGCTAGGCTGGAAACGTTTGCCTTGGGAATATGTGCTGCCACCAACTCCCTGAAAACAAGCAAAGCCATCCCTACCAACAGTTGTTAAATTGGCAAGAACCTGTTGGATGAGTAACAAGTGCCATCTTGCAAGGAGCTGAGCATGAAAGACACTCCAGCCCTGAAGCTGATAGGACAGAGGAAGGCGGAAGTGCTGTGGAGGTTTTTAGAAGGCCCTCAACGGCTGTGACACAGATAAACTCTTCTTTGGACAAGGAACCCGCTTGACTGTGGAACCAAGTAAGTAATTTTTTTGTCTGAAATCTTAAGTTAAGGCATCCTCCACCCAGAGAAACAGAAATATCAGGAAAGCTACAAGAGGAGGAGGAGAGGGTACTAGGTCAGTGTAATTGTGTAATTAGTGTGATAGCATCCAGGAGGACCCTTGGGAAGAGGTAAATTATGATTAGCCCTCTGTAAGAGTCTTGGGGAAAGTGTTGGTTTAAAAAGCAAAAAGCAGGTTTGAGGGGATGTGAAAGAACCCATAGAGTGCACAGAAATTGGAAAGAACTCTGCCCAGTCCACAAGATTTGGGTCAGGCTGTAGAAACCACAGGGTCAATGGCCCAGCTCACTGAGCAGAGTCAAAATGGACCTGGAATGAGGTTGGCCTGAGTCCGTGTGATCCTATCGAGGTGGTTCCAGATATAAACAGCCCTGATCTTTACTAGACTGAACTCATGTTCTCAGCAGAGCCCAAAACCAAATCTTTCTCTTAGGTATGAAGTATTAAGCCAGATCTAGGGGTCATTTGTTGTAAATATGTGGTCACCTTTCTCTTTAGAAGGAAGGAAAGTGTTTAGACATTTGTTTCTAATTAGTTAAGCTTCAAGTGAAATACAGGCTACTAGAAAGAAATATGAAATATTGTGCTTCCCAATTAGACCAGATTCCAAGCAGAACAAACTTTTGTGTGTAATGTTTTCAGCTAAGAAATGTTCTAGAGTCAGACTGGCTCTCGAAGGATTCACAGTGTTCATCTTCTTCCTAAAGAGGATGTGGTGCCACTCACTAATTAACTGTTATAAAGGAATCAGTGTTAAAGTTGTTGAAGAATTGTGCTAACACAGAAGGTATAGTTTGTTAAGTGACATTTGAATTCAGCGGTGAGTTAAAAAAAAGTGGTACCTAAAAAAAGACAGTGGTCTGAAACTTGGCAGCAGCTTCAAATTAGTGACTATTAGTCTTAAACCAGATAAAGTAATATATCAATACAAAAATCTATTTCAAAGGTCTTAGAGAAGCCTAGCAATAGGGATCAATGGCCCCAAATCTACCAAACTAGCCACTAGAAAAGAAAGAACACATCCCGCCCTGATGACTTGCCCTCCAGCTTACATTTTCCTAAGTAAGAGGTGGACGGGTGTAATGGGGGAGGCATCGCTCAGAGACAGTGGGGAAACAGACAGGCCCGTGTGTATGAAGTGAAGGAGGCAGAGGCCTGGGGGCAGAGGCAGGAAACGGACAAGCCTGGAGTATGGGGGCACCCCAGGCCTCACATGCTGTGAAGAAACAGGGCCCAAACTCCACGTATGGAAAGACAGGCTCAGATACAAGGTAGCAGAATTACACAGCAAAACTCAAAAGTTTTTTCTTTTAATCAAAATCTTGATAAGATTTTGTAAGTTGGAGTGATTCAGGCTCTTGCCTTTAAACATCTCTGAAGTTAAAACTTCTCACTAAATAGTTTGTTCACATTCCCAACAAAGTTAGCAACTGATTTCCCTTAATATCCCTTTGTTCGCCAAGTTCTTCATCGTGAATCAAGTTGCTCTGTGTATTGATTCTCTGGGGCCAGAATTTCCTTGAATGTGGAGAGGCTCCCAGTAACACCGCTTAGCAAAGTTATAATCTAAATCATCTGTCTACATCTACAGTCTGTGCTCTTAAGTTTGACCTCACTCTTCTATTGAGGCTGCTCCATTAGTACAAGGGTGTGGAGGTTCTGCCTGTTTGGCCCAGCAGAGCACGGGATTGTAGATATTTTGAAGCTGGACTTTTTCATATGGACTGAGCTTTTAATACATACCAGAATAGTATAGGAAGCCATCAAAACCATGTGATTAAAATTTTCCTCTTGATTATATTTTAAGTTAAAAAGTAAAAAATTTAAAGAAAAATTTAAAGAAAATTTAAAGAAAAAATTTAAAGAAAATTGTTTAGAAAATTGTGATGGTAGATAGGACCAACAAAAGAGATGTGATTATTTGAAGTTTGGAGAAAGCTTAGCAGATACATTGTTATCTTTCGAAATGGAAAAAAGTAAGGAGCATCTAAAGGGGGCAGGATTCAGAATAACTTTGAGTGGAACCTTCCTTCAACCAACTAATATTGGATCAATGAAGCATCACTGCGAATTCAGGCCTTTATCTTCTCAGAAGTCTACTTTCTTTTGATGCTTTCTTTCCTCAGGAGATTCTTTCAAGTTCTTATCTGCAGGGTTCCCAGGTAGCACAGAACTAACAGAGGTCTGCACACATCCACACCGCACACCCCACCACACATTTTAGCTCCTAGGTAGAGCAAAGCTGGGGACACCACTTGACTTCATAAAACAGACCAGAGAACACACAAAACAGTACGTAAGCACCACAATGTAAATGAGTGCTAGGCACAATGATGACATTGTGTAGAAGGCTAGAAAAGGGTCACAGTCATCAGGAACATCTTCATGAAAGTAAACCATGAGACAGACTTAACATTCTATCTATTCTTATATATCACCACTACATCAATTACCACCTCTTGAATGCCTATCATGTGTCAGGCCACTGGGCTAGGCATTTTTTAAGTGCCATTTTGTCCACTCTCACAATGATCATGTGGAATTAGTTGCCATTGTTTGTATTTTAAAGATCAGAAAACTGAATCTCAGAGAGGTTCCCCATGTCACAAAACTTAGCAAAGTTACAATTTGAATCATCTGACTACATCTACAGTCCGTGCCCTTAAGACCTCACGCTTCTGTTGAGGCTGTTAGAAGCACAGGGGTGTGGAGGTCCTGCCTGTTTGGGCCAGCTGTTCTCTCAGGCCTCTGCTGAGCTGCGGCAGAAGCTGAGACAACAGTATGCTGCTTCCCTTCCACTTGTCACCCCCCACCACTTCCTTCAAGGAGCCATTCTCCTTCCTCAGGAGGAGCCAGGAGAGGCCCACTCTACACACCACATTCCTGGAGCCCAAGAGCATCTAAACACAGAAAGGTGACCACAGAATCTCCCTTTTCTCTAAGGAAGAGGAGCCCATAAAATTCTAGACTCATCAACATGTTTCCAGAATTCCTAGGAATCATTTTCTGTTCCTCCCAGACAGTGGCCCTTGGGCTGGCATCTTGGACATACTCTCTGTCATGATGATCACCTCCTAGAAAAGAGACCTCACACCTCCAGATCACTCTGTCTACTCTTCTTCCTTTTCCAAGTCTACTTAATGGTTGATTCCTGTGAGTTCTTCCCCAGCCACAACTTATCATTCTGCAGATGCCTTCCCTCCACTATGATGTATAGTCCTCTTACCCACCGGAAACTATTTGCTAACTTATTGTCCTCTTGCCTTGCTCCATGAGGGCAAGGACTTTGAGATGGCCCTTACATCTCCAGAAATACATTAGAGGCACTCAGTCAGTGTTACATAAATGAATTGGTCAGTCAGAAGACCAGTCAACTGTGGAAGGGAGAAGAAAATAGAAGGGAACTGGAAACCTGCAGAGCCAAGCCTGAGTCCCAGCTCGGCAACATGTGATATGTCACTATCACTAGGTGCTGAGCATTATTCAAGGGACCAAGGAATCAACACAAACAAAACAAGCAAATCTATGCCAATTTGGAGCTAACTTTCAAATGGCCAAAGACGGAGGGTAAAATAACACTATTTTATGTGATTATAAGCTCTGTGAAGAAAAATAAAGCAGAGAAATGGAATAAAGAGTACTAGTGAGAAGCAGCGGTGTGCACTTTTAAAGGCCTTATTGGAGGGTGATATTTGAGCAGACCAGAGTAGGCAGCAGTCAGAGCGAGTCACGCAGCTATCTGGAGGATGGGCACTTCCAGGCAGAGCAGAGTTGGTGTTGCCTGGAGTAAAGAGTCAGGAGGCCACATAGTTCAGAGAAAGACTGTACCAAGGGGCAGAATTTGAAAATGAGGTCCGGTTCTCAGTAGGGGCAGGGAAGGGTAAGACCTTTGCTTTTGGATATGAGAGGGAAACTAGAGAACAGAATAGAAGTCACAATGGATTTAGAGAAAACAGCCGGGAAGAAAAAGACCTGGATTCCAGTCCTCCACCAATAGTATTAAGAAGTGGGCACCATCTTCATCTCAAAGAGCAAAAGAAAAATTCTGTTTTCCTTTTGTGACCTCTCCCAACAATCATTCCCAGGGGCCACTCTGTTTTTAATTAAATGATGCAACCCTGATATAAGCAAAACTTTTTTTCTAAGTCTCTCTCGAGTAAGCATTCTAGGGCTTTGTACATCAGGGCTCTGTAGTTTATAGAATGCTTTGGACACATCCTTTCCTTTAATTGTATAATCTACCAATATAGAAAATATTACCTTTATTTTATAAAGAAGGCTAATAAAGCTCAGCAAAGTTCAGGGCCTTGGCCAAGATTACACACTTAGGGACAGAATCAAAACTGAATTTTGAATCTTGTGACTTCATTCTACTTTACCACAACTGAGAACCACCCTACATTTCAGTGATTCTTAAAATGTGACCTACAACAATCCTTTATGGGTTCTAAACTGAGCGGAAAATGCATTTTCTCTCCATGGTGTTTTGAATGACATACAGGAAATCTCGTAGACTCTGATTTTTACATATGACAGAAGCCAATTTAACTTCACTTCTAAGTGTAAGTATGGCATTAAGGCTTGCTAAAATGTAGTATTTATGAATACATTATTAAAATGGACTGTGGAATTTAAATGTTTTGTACTAAAAAGGCCGGCTGCTGTGCAATGCTTGGCAGTGATGCAGGGGTATGCAATGGCATTGCTAAAAGTTTAGAGTGGAGAACAGAACCTACTGGGTCTTTACCCGACCCAAGTGTTGCCCGAAGGTTAAGAACCACTGCTCTATGGCCAGCATTCTGCCTTTCTTTCCCTGATCAAGCAGACAAACAGAAAACTCCTTTCCAGTATACACTTATGCTTTCTCATTCAGAGCACAAATTCTATCAGAAGGTAAAAGCTTGGATTTCTACATGATGCCAGAGTTCTCCCCTGTTTTGTCCTGAGTGTTAGTT